AAAAACATTGCTTGTCTTGTTGTAGGCAGCAAACAACTACATGGAAAAATATGGTGCCGAGTTCCCTTACATTCAGAACTTCAGACTACCTGATATGCCTGAGATTTCCCTGCCAGAGACACTGTTCCTGAATACGTAAGTGTGATGAACTCCATGGTAAACCAGTAAATTATCAAAGTATTTTTAAAACAAAACATTTATGCATTTTACTTTTGTCATTTTAACAGTGAGGCAAAGGCTATTTACTACTTCAACAATGAGCGCTTCACCATCGTTATCCCTCTCCCTCTTGGAGGAAAGTCAACAGAGGAGCTTAACTTCCCACCAGCTTTGACCACACCTAGCATGTCTCTACCCCAGTTTGGACTGGATATTGTCTCCATGGAGATCCCCATCCCAGAGCTTGTTGTCCCTGAGAGCTTTACTCTGTCTATTCCTCTTTTTGGCAAAGCTGAAGTTTACGCTCTGATGAGGAGCAACCTGTATGACATGGAGGCCTCAATGGCCGCTGGCAAAGATGTTGTGGAAACTCCAAGCTACTCAGCGAAGTTTGATGTGAAAGGAACCTCCCCACTTGAAATCCTTTCAATAAAGATTGAAGGTATTTCAGAGTAATTATTATTAATGGATTTCTTATATCTTTAATACATCAATCACATCCATGTTAGTCTTAATACACAGTTAAAATTATGTGTTGTTCACTCTTGGTGGAACAGTTTTTGGTCACAGTTTTCTGATCCTATGACTTAATTTCAATCACAATGCTTAAGTGATTTCCAATAAAACTACACAGAACTAGTTGACTTTGCATATTTCTGTTAGGTATATTGTAAATGAGCAAATTAATCACACTGTATCTTTTTTTCTTTTTGTGTTTTATTCAGGCTCAGGAATGTTGTCCACCACTGATTCCATTAAGGCCCAGTTGAAGAGCTTTTTGGCCCATAAATTCATTGAAGCCAGTGTTAGTATCACTGAGGATGTAACCATCACTGACAAAATCAATTTGAGATCAAACAGCAAGATTGAAGCCACAAGTCCGTTTGGTCTCAATTTTGCACTAGAGCACACGGGTATGGCAGGAATCAATACTGAAGAAATCTCTGCAGATAACAACTTTGAGGGAATGTTCAAGGCTGGACCTATGTACGGCAAGACCACTTCGACCCAGTCAGTTACCATCTTCCCATTCAGGCCAGTGGCAAAGATTGATTCTATTGTTCAGTTTGACTCCACAATTGTTAGGGGCCAAAACACATTTACAGCATCCCTTGCCAATGGTGAATTCTCAGTTGTATCCAACACCAATGCCTTTGAAGATGTCTTGACACATGTTGTTGAGCTTTACTTCAAAGACAG